GTGTGCCAAGAGCTGGCTCCTCAGGCTGATGCCTGTACCTCACCCTCCAGACGAGTGGGACCATAGGCTCTTTCTCAAACATACTCTGATTTCTTGTCTCCATGTCTTACCTCTTTCTGAAATGATATCTTCTGATTGCTCCCTGTTACAGTTCTGTCATCCAAGTTCAATATCTTATGGCAGCTGTTCTCTGATGCTTTCCCCACTTTGATCATTGTCTATTGCCAAAAAAAGGATTCTGATTACATTGAATAATATGCATAATTCAAGACCAACTTATCTATATGAATGAAAAATGGTGACAAGTACTTCTATTTATCAGCCAAAATGGGACTGCCATGTGGCAATAGCATAAAGAGAATTAATAATTTACTTCATCTTCATAATTTGAAAATACACAATCCTTAGCAAATTTTAAGCATTTTGAGAGATATACATTATTTTGAAACTTGGAAAGCATAACGAACTCAGCTTTGATCTCACTGAAGAAAATTCAGAATTATAGGCATAAGAGGCAAATCTATATGATACAATAATATTGATCAAAATGGGTTAATTTAATAATTTTCATCTAGGGCAAACAGTAATGAGCATTTTGCTTCAGGAGACAGTTTACTATAGGAGACTATTGTGCTTGAGAAATTTGCTGCACTGTGTTCAGAAAGGTTTGGAAAAACCTTATACAACCCATACTCCAGTTGGGGTCTTTTCCCCCTCCTTGAAGTATGAGTAGAACTTGACTCAAAACTCCTATAATTTAAAGTTTACTTCCTCTTCCTTTTGTCCACTTCACCTCTCCATTAAAGCTACCCCGGCTGCTCTCCTTGTCACCTTTTTTAATGATTGAAGAAACAAGTAAATACATTTATTAATTAGTTTACAAAAACTGAAGTAGGCTTGGGTTCTGTAACTTTATTGAACATACTAGGAAAATGAGGTCTCATATACGGTACCAGCTTTTGTTATTTCTTTTTTTCTCTCTTCCCATCTTCCTTTACTTTTCACTCCTTTCTATACCTCTCTGATATAACCAGGACATTTTTCCACTTTACCTTGCAGAAGGGTTGTAAGACAATCTTACTTGCACCTTTAACTCCAAGTGTGTATGAATTTTTTTTTAAAGAGTTTCCACGTCTTCCCTGATGGGAATTCTGGTCAACACACTTTTGTTGTTGTGCCTTTTGCTACTAAGGCAATTAGAAATCAGGACTTATATTGGTGGGATTAACATACATTATATGTATTGATAAGAAGATATCATCATTTTTATTTTTAAAGCTTATAGGAAGAGCAGATCATGTCTATTGGGCTTGATTATGTGGTACCTAATCCAGTACCATAAAATGAAGGTCTAGTTTTTACTTTGCAATGAAAGATAATGCTACTGATGGAGATTAGTGATAATTCGGATGTCAGACATTTATGGCAGTTACTTCTGTGAATATGGTCCATATTCCAGAGATTGTCCATTGTAATGACTATGCAAGACTGTTAAGATACAGTTTAAAATATGAGGGCAATACACAGGGGTGGGCAAAAGTAGGTTAAGAATTGTTCATATAGAAAATAACATAATTAATAAATAAATAATTATACAAGAGTAAAATCTCTGTTTCATGTACTCACAAGTGTGAACCTACTTTTGCCCACCCCTATATGTTAACAGTTTTTAGAAGAGTGAGATACATAGATTACCTTCTTGGGTTGTTATTAAAATAATATTTATCAGTAGTTTCCCTAATCAAACCATAGTGAAACATTTTTTTTACAATTTTAATAAGTACTTCTTTAATGAACACATTACTATTAATAAGCATGAATAGTAATTTGCTTAGGTATAATTTCTCTTTCATTTATTTATTTGTTTGTTTATTATCTAAAGTTTTACATATGTCTCCTTCCCCCCCTCCCCCGCTTAAGTCCCCCCCCCCCCATTCCCCGGGCAAGCCCCCATCATCCCAGTGTCTGTGTCCATTGGTTATGCTAATATGCATGCATACAAGTCCTTTGGTTGCTCTCTAATCCCCCCCTCTTTTGCCATTTGTTTCTGGATCTATTCTTGTTCATCAGATTATGTTGATCACTATATCCCACAAATGAGTGAAATCGTGTGATATTTATCTTTCTCTGACTGGCTTATTTCGCTTAGCATAATGCTCTCCAGGTCCATCCATGCTGTTGCACAGTGAAACATTTCAATGGGCGTGTTCTTGCTCTGAAAGGAAGGACAAAAGGTGTTAGGTATTTGATGTGCCAGAAAATCCCCAAGTTCCACCTGTACAGCCAACCTGGAAAATGGCTCTAAAATTGCATCCAATTACCCTATGTAATGGGTAAAAATTTCTAACTAAATTTTGGAATTTGAAAAAAAAAGTCCTCCTGAATCTTAAAAGGAGAATCTTAAAAGTCTAAAAAGGAGAAATTACATAGGAAAGAACTGAAAAAGAATCCATGTACATCTCAAGAAATATAAACTTTTTTCTTCATTCAATAATTTGTAAAAAAAAAAAAAAAAAAGAACATACAAAGTTTATTAGAGGTACCAGAGAAAAAGGACATTTTAATCAGGATGACATAAAATAACCAACATAACGACTGTTTTTTACTTTGAACAAAATACTATTTTAATGGATGTAGTAAATGCATGAATACAAAAATAATGGTGTAAACAATAACAAGCCTTTTGATTGCTTTTGGAGTGATTATTTTTGTAGTGGTTATTGATCCAAATGCTAGCTGCTGACTGATGTCTCCACGCACCCAACCCTCCCAGTTTTGTAGCTAAGGCTTTCTGAGTGCCTGTGGGGATAGTCAGGTTGGTGGCATTTACCAAGAAATATTTCTTAGTTTACACATTTGTTTTGACGTGAAAAACTTTTAGCTGGGGATTCAGCCCTGAGCTCATGGGCGGACCCCATCTGTTTACCCAGGTCTCATTCCTAGTGTTTGTACCTAACTTCTACATTTAGGAGCAGGAAACAACGTTCACAGACACTCACAGATTCAGAGTGTGAAGATACATAATGAATTGTAATGGAATCAAAGTCAGGAGATCAAAAAAGGTTGTTTTCCATGTTCTCGTAATTTCCTCCCGGGGTGCAGCTCACTTTCTGTTTTTTCAGCTTTGGTTGCTGATTATCTTCCCTAAGGCATCTACAATTTTCCTTCAATAAAGTGAAATGACCATGTTATTGTGACTTCTGAGACCTCTTGTCCTTCATGTAAGATGAGTTAACAGACAGATGCACCTCATGCATTTCTCATTATTTGTATTGTGTGGATCCTTTGAGAACTGGAAACTAGTATTTACACCTGCTTAACCTAGATAACCTAGAAGATTATTAATCTCTGGGTGTTTTTCTTAGAAAGTAAAATTGTTAGTGAATTTTATTAATTAAAAATTATCAAATAAAGCAATCAAATATAGTGCAGGCGCCCATCTATGTGCACATAGGCATATGTGTGTAAATGCAGATGGGCCTGATTTTTGTAGTGCCCTGTGTCAGTGTTTATCTTTGGGAGAAATGGAATTCACAAGTTCCATTTACAAAGTAAGTTTAACTTTCTGGTAAACATTCCTTCACACTTATCTCCCTTCTTTCTAGTTTTACCCATTATCTTCAAAATTGAACATTTCTTTCCAGGCCAAGGTGAAGAAAATATTTTGGAGTGGCTGTGCTTTATGGCACCTTTCAAGTGATTCGGTAAAGGACATTATAAAGATATTTGAAGTGATGATCAAAGGTCATAGCGATGACTTTTGTTAGGGACAAGCAGGCACCTGCTGGCCCATACGTGACTTTGTGAAGCGTACCGTGGAAGGAACAAGGGGTGGAGGTCCAACAGACCAGCGTTGCAACCTGGCTTTGCCACCTTGGCCATGTCACTCCATCCTGAAATCTCCTCTATCTTAAAAAGTGGCTTTAAAGTTTAAAGATAATATACCTAAAGTGCATAGCACAAGGTGACTGGCACAGAGTAGATATGATTGTTTTTATAGGTTCAAAGACTGTATCTCCCAAGCCACTCTTAGGAGCCGATGATTAATACCGTGTTAGAGGAAAAGAACAGGAACTCACCAAACAGCGCTGGGCTATAGCTTCCCGCCTGCATTTATTTATGTTATTGTGTAGCTAGTGATCCTGTGGATATTAGAATTCTTTTCTTCATAGCGTTCCTTTTTGTCAGGGAAAAAATAGTATTTACAACTACTGCCCTTTCCCCCCTGGGATATTAGAAAAGTTACAATTGTCAACATTTGCTAGCATTTTGAAGTTTCTGAAAAGAAAGATGCTAAACATTAATTATACATAGTTACAAAATAAGCTCCTTGATGGAAAAGTTTTTAAAAAACGAATTAGAAGGGGGAGGAAATTAACAGCAGAAAGGAAACTTTATATTTTGGCAAGCTCTGAAACATGGGAACATTATTCTTTCATGGTTTTCCATGAATTTGAATCTCCTGACAGTTTCTCAATTATAGCTTGTAACTGCGGGCTTCAAAGCAATCCTGCAGTTCACTTCACCTCAGCCAGTCCGTCAATAATGTTTATTGAATTCCCATGGAGTGAAGGGCCCATTTTCATTTTCCTCAGCACGGGGGCCTTGATCCAGAGAGTCTGTCATGCAGCCAGCCAGACCTGCTAATGGTCTCTCACTTTGAATCCGCCCCAACAGTGTTTTCCCAGAGACCCTCTGAAGCTGGCGCTGACCTCCTCCCATCTGCACACACTACATCGTGTCTCTTCCTGCCTGGACCAGATGAAAACCCTTTAGGCCGGAAGCTTTCCCAGATTAATACCAGACCCTTAATCTCGTCCCACCTCCTGCCCAATGCCGTTCAACTTCATTTTATAAATATGTGTATTGTTTGGGCTGAACTGAACCAAACCATAAACTCTGCAAGTTTAAGGCTTACGCTCAATTATAGGATCACAGGGTATCCAAGTTCAAAGGGGTTTTCAAGGTTTAGCTTAATTATCTCTTTTTTTTTTTTTCAGATGAAAATAAATCGAAACTAAGATCCAGTAAAAGGAAATGACTTATCACAGGATAGTGAAATGGCAGTAGGCTTCGGAGTCCGAAAATAAAATCGAAGGATATTTCCTGGCCCCACAAATTGTAGGGGAGCAGGTCATGGAACCCTCTGTATCTTATTTTATCTTAATCTCTAAATGGGGGGTTAATAATTATTAACATCGTTGACATTTCAGAAATGAATGTCAAATGCCTGGAAAATTTGAGATGTTCAATAAGTGATAACTATTCTTCTCCAAGGTCACAGCTGATGAATGGCAGACTGAAACTTGAACCCAGAACTTCTGAGTCCAAGTTCATTGCTTACTCTTTCCTGACCTAATGCTTATTTCCAAAGGAGTGCCACTCCCTTGATGAGGGCATTCAGTAAACATCTCTCAGGGACAGTAGTTTCCCAGGCACATTAGAATTCTTTTGAGGCAGGCAGGTAGGAGGGATTTTGTTATTTTTTCTTGCCTTGGGGAAAGGTTTCATCAGTAAAGTAGCAATAAAAACATTTTCTCTATTAGTGGAAATGATTAACACTCCTTTAGTTAGGCAATATTTTCCCACCCGGCCTCACACAAACCAAGCCACACAGATGGGGCGATCAGAAACCCTAAGAAAACAGCAACAAATTGGCTTGGTGAGTGGATGTGGTTGGAAATCTTTCATCTGGTTCGTCTCAACAGGTTGTGGAAGTTATATGGGTTTTGAATGAAGTTGAAAATCCAAGCAGAATGTATGAATATCAAGCCACAGGTATCAAAGTTTGGAGAATCTGATGAAAAACGAACCAATGTAAACGCAAACCTGAGGACATTACACGCCTCCTTTCCTGAGAGCCAATTTGGGGCAGGAAGAAACACTTAACTTGCTGCAGGAGAGGAATATGCAGCCTTTCTAATTAGTTATCACCTCGGTGTTTATTTTTCACTGAATCCCTGGGCTGGAGTGATTAACATACCTGTGGCTCAGAAATCCAGGCAGGAAGGCGTGAACCTGGACTGAAAGCCGATGCTGAATGTGTCCGCACTGGCTGTCCCTCCAGAATACAGCCCTGCCATGAACAAAAGAGTTTTCTGAAGTGTAAGTGCTTCCACAGCCCGCCAACTCGCCCTGCCAAATGTGCCCTTCATGGACTGCTTGGCAATGGTAGTTCCAGATGGAAAGCGGAGGGAGGGTGGATGAATCAGTCCAGAAGTGATGCACATTGTCCACTGCCTTGGTCTCAGTCAAAAGACATTGCCACTCCACCAAGTCCTGCTCCAGCTTGTTTGTAGAAGTAAGACTTTTTTCCATTCACACAAACATCTGAGACACAGTGTTGAGCTATCTTGTTTCAGTCAGACCCATGGGTGAAGCTGCTGGTGGGTGAGATTGTGCAGAACAAAGAAGCATCTCTTGTAAATTCCAGAATGGCATATCAAAAAACTTTTTTTCCTTACCTGGCAGCAGTGCTTCAGCCATCTTCAAAGGGTCTAACCCTATGGAATCTTTTAGGCTGAGTAAACTGACACGTTTTTTTGATTTGGTGATTTGGCAAAGCAGCCACGGACCCTCTTAAAAATCTTGGGAACTGTGTTTGGAAGCTGCTTTGTCGGGCTCTTTGTCTAAAGCATCTATCTGGCTATTAAACTTCAGCCTCCCACAGCCCTTAAACAGATCTGAAGTTGCTTTCGGAATTTAGAGAAGGACGATCCAAACTGAAAATTTTACTTGTCACATTTAATTGTAATTAATGTTTATTGTTCATAGTACAATATGTGACCACTTCAGTTACAAATACTTGTGAACAGGCCATCACATGGATGACTTATAGCACAGTGTTTAGTTCAGAAGCGTAAATATTCTGAGAAAAAAAAAAAAGTAGTTAGGCCATTTATTAGTCTCTAGGTAAAAAAAAAACATCATGCTGAAAGAGTTAGTGGGTAATCTTGAATCGTTTTATAAAAGGGAATGGATAATAGCAGGTTTAAACTTAAAATGTTGATTGAGAGCACAGAGTCGGGGGAGGATTCTTGAGAGGCAGGGTCCTGGGGAAATACTCCGGGCAGCACAGGGACCCCTAACTCTCTCTTCCTCACAGCCATGAGAGAGGGAGCATACAAGGAGGGAATTCTCTTTAGACTAAGAAAATACATGGACTTCTATTTCTAGAGTTAAACAGGCAACAAGTAAGGTAAAGTGCTTGCCAACGCAATGAAAATATGCAGATAATTAAAGGCTCTTGGTAACAGAGCAGTGTCTTTCATGCTGAGCGTGGTAGCACCAAGGGACTCACCAAACTGCAAACTCTGGCTGGAGTTGACATCAAAATCCTGTTTTGAACATAAAAGCAGGTGCAACACAAGTTGAAAACAGCTTTTATTTAGATAAATACAAAAACGGAATGAACAGAGTTAGATACATAACCATCACTGTCTCCGAGGCACTGCTGTGGTGCGCTGGCAAGCAGAGGGCTTTGGGAGGACCTGCATGCTCCCTGCTGCCCCGTTCCATTACTTAGCTAAGGAGTTCTGGACTCGAAGCAGAGAATATGTTCATGGTTTCCTAGGTGATTTTAAATAGCACTTAGACTGTGCTTTTCAGTTACATTAATGTGACTATGTGTTCATTTTTAAGATAGCAGGTTGAGAACATGCTTTAGGTTCCCACTCTGTATTATTCAGGGACTAGAAAAAAAACAAACGTAATCCATTCTAGGTATTTAAATGAAAGGAATTTAATACAGGAGATTGGTTACCACATGATGGAAATGTGGAAAAGGGAAACAGGAAACAGAGAGAAATAAAAGATATTAAAAAACAGGAAGCTACTGTCTCTAAGCTTTGGTAACAAGCTCAGAAGGTAGGGCCACTCAGCTGTGGGTCGAGCCTTGGCCTGGGATCCTAAGAAGCCATTGCCAGAGATGCCAAGAAAAACAGAGAGAAGGGGGAGAAACACCATGGCTTTCCCCTCCTCCAATTTTCCAATGTTTCTCCAGCGTCTCTCATTAGCGAACAGACCCAGAAGAAGACAGAGGGGCCTAGGCACTGTCAGTCCCTGCAATATGAAGCCGAGAGGTAAAAAAAGAGCAACTGACACTCAACCTACCTTCACTGGACCTCCAAAGCTACATGTACAACATGCATAAATATATAACTACTCTTGAACTCAGAAGACCAGAATCGCGGATGAATCCATGAATGTTGGAAAATAGATGGAATCCAATTGAATAGAGAACTTATGGGTCAGGATGTGTGCAGGGGAGAACCAATGGTGAGTTGCAGACACAGTGGAGAAAGTACTTAGGGCCTGGGCATTGGGTAGGGTCATTATTTGAAGTTCAGTAGTAAGGAGTAAGAATGCATGTTGCATTCTGTCCTTACCTTGGATCACAAAACCTAAGCAGCAAGTCTGCGTCCAATTGCAAACAACGAAAGTGGGCACCCTAATGAAAAGGGATCACCCAAAATCATGAAAACAGCCACTTTCCGGTGACATCTCTTGCCACGCATGCTTTTTTGCTAAAAACAGTGTGGTGTGCAAGCTGCAGCAGCAATTCCCACTCTCTTCCAAAGTAACTATACAAATAGATGCCCCATGACGATCTAATAAGGACTTTCAGTAGTAAAGATGAGTGCACAATCTAAAAGATCATACGCTTAAGGAAAGCCAACATCATAAAGGGAAGCAGTATATTCAATACCAAATGACACTGAGTTAGCAGAGAAGCCAAGAAAGAATTCTAAAATATATAACATTAATATTATGAATAAGGAAGGCTATTATGTCCACAAAATTAGTATAGGTAGCTTTGGAACAACCAGAGAGATAAATCCAATGTATCATTACTTATAATGAATATTAAGGAGGGAGAATGGAAAAGAGGTTCACTTTGGCTAGGATGTAAATTTAGTTCACAATTTTCAGTAACTACTCTTTTATTAAAACCAAAAATTTTAAGTTTAAATCTTGGCTTTTCTTTCATGAGACAAACTAAAAGCATTTCTATAGTTAGCTACGGGAACCAGGTTGAGTAGCCCAAAAGGAAATATAACTCCCGCAATTTTGGTTCAAGCAATCTATATATATAAAAGCCTAAGCGACCATTAGGACTGGGCGACCAGATGACCAGCCGGTAGCTATGATGTGCACTGACCACCAGGGGGCAGATGCTCAACGCAGGAGCTGCCCCCTGGTGGTCAATGTGCTCCCACAGCCAACCTTCCGCGGTCCCTCCCCCATGCCGGCCCGATCATCAGGACTGGGTGAGACAGCCCTCATCGCCCCAACTACCTATGTACCAGGCCTCTAGTGATAATATGAAAACTTTTGAAATTAGATTCTCCCACCTCAATACACAGTGACAATTGAATGTCATCCTTGTGAAGAATCTTTTTTTTTTCTTGTTTTGCTTTCAATGCTTTGCTTCTTGATGACTTTTCTGAGAAGTGTGTGTGTGTGTGTGTGTGTGTGTGTGTGTGTGTGTGTGTGTGCTGTATCAAAGTTAGATATGTGGATGAAGGAAAGGCTCCATTCTGGAATCAATTTTATCCAAATCTCCCCAAGGTAGTATGGGAGCTCAGAGCTCTCAGCAGATACCTAGATAATTTCTAGTTATCAGAAAAGGCTTAGAAGTAGTATATAAGAGCCACAGAGATGTCTTAGTAGCATTGCTAGAATTATTAATACGAGTTTCAACTTTTCTCCACAGCCTACAGGTTATTCTCTGTCTTTTACTTACTCTCAATGTGGCAGGCACCATTGTAACTCTAATTACAAGAGTAGAACTTATTGTACTTCATCAATTTTAAAATGCATGTTTTTATCATCTCTGAAATCATAAGGCATCTTACAATTGATGGCATTTCAGCTTAATTAATAAACATTTTTAAGGGTACATAATAGTGTATCTTAGAGCATCTTAGACAATAAAATTTTTCTTTTGTTTATATGCTTATTTTCATTAATACAGGAAATGTGACTTATCTTGGTAAATAATCCAGCCTTCGTCCATTGTTCAGGGAATGAACACGTATGTTTGTCTGATGGAATATTTTTTATTATAGTAAAATATTGCTAAATATATATTTTATAGAATACTATAGAGCTGTGCTTCCTAACTGAACTTGACCAACTAGCAGAATCAATACAGACATTTGAGCCCTCCTGCTGAGGGTCTGGCTCTAGATATGGCTGAGAATCTATAATTTTATAGAGACCCAGGCTAATTCTGGTGATCAGAGAGGCTTGAAGAGCCATGCTACAGAGAACAAAAAAGAAATGTCTATCTGCCTTATAGGAAGCACCTAACATTAAAAAAACAACATTTAAATGTTACTATCTTAAAGTAGGGAAAGAAAAGCATACCAAAATTCCTATTCTTTCATATTTAAAATTTCTGCTGTTTTATAAAAACAATGTACATGTTACTTTAATAAATTTTCCTAGCATTAAGAAATCAATGACCTGAACTATATTAAAAATTAATTTTCAGTGACTTTTAAAGTTCAAATAGAATTGTAACCACAAATTATATTAATTTCCATTGAGACTTGAAAATCAATTCAATGCAAGTCAGTGCTTTTTTTATGTTACTTGGTTTATGGCACACTGACTACACCAGACATTGTGGAATTATACTGGTCCTCTGAAATGCTGCTTTTATTTATTTAATTTTTATAGGCTCCATTGCACGTGAGGAGGCATGATTTAATGGAAAGAGCCAGGAATCATAGGAGACCTGCCATTAGCTTTGAGATATTAAGCATGTCACTTAATTTCTTTTTACTCTAATTTTCCATCTTTAAAATAATTATGATTAGATGACTCCTAAAGCTCCTTCCACCACTAACATTATATGTTTTTTTTAGGATCTAAATGGAGGCAAAGCCATATTATATTTACAGTTTATTTGCAGGAACATTTGTATTGTATTCTGAGCTTATTGGTAGTAACTAATTAATTTACAATGTGAAATTAAAAGGTGTCTTTGTTACTGATGACCTTGAACTGTGATAATTCAGTGCACTGGGTCTCAGGGAAAGAATTTTAAGTGAATTAAACTCTGAGAAAGAGAAGATTGGGATATTGAGAAACTTAGAGACGAATTTAAATGAGCTTTTAAAACAAATGGTATTCAAAAGACAAAATTAAATATGGAAAGTATCCTTAAAAGAAGATATTTGGGAGAAACTTCTTGGTCAAGTAAAGTAAAACAAAAAATAAAATTTAGAAATAAAAGTGAGAGTGGTTCTATCAGTTTAAGCAATACTGGTTCTAAGTAACAAAAAACAAAACAAAACACTACTCAAACAACAAAAGACATTTATTAGCATATGTAACTATAAGTTCTGTAGTACCAAGTGGGCTTCAGTCATGGTTTGACCAAAACCTGGCTGAATTTTTAGGCAGTTCACTTAGATTGGCTTCCAATGATAGCAAAATAGCTATTGCATTTCCGGGTTTCATTTGCATACATCACACTAGCTGGAGCCAGACAGAGGTCTTCTTTTTGTCTATCCTGACATAAGCACCTGAGTTTCACTCAGGACCAACCTGAACCAATCACCCAAGTCAATGAATGTCATGTCCTGATTGACTTTAAGCTAAATGACTGTTCCTTCCTCAACCATCAGAATGAGATTAACAGATGGATGGACACCAGTTAGCATCCACTCCTAGAACAGGAAGTGGGGCCCATTCCATTCCAACCACGTGCTTGCTGCACAATGGGAGAAGACATTCCCAGAGGAAGTCTTAGTTGCTCTAAGGAAGGGCAAGGACAGGATACTTTGTAGGCCACCAACAAATATCTATTTCCACTTGAACATGTATTTCTGCCCCAACCATGGAGAAAAATAAAAATTTTTCTATAAAGTTAAAAATATTAGCCAAAGTAGTAAAGAAAAGAATGTTAATAAACTTCATCTCACATGTGTAACAATAGCAAAAATAAAATAGAATTTGAGTCACAACAAACAGGTTCAAATCTCAGTTCATGATAGCTATATGACCCTGTCCTTCATTTATATTATGCCCACAGTAATAATATTTGTCACAGAGATTTTATTTTGTGAGAATCACATGAAATTATGTATGTAAAATGTTCCTCAGAGTTAGCTATAGATGTTTCTTAGGTGTTAGCTGTACCAATGTACTGATGAAACTGATGAAAACAAAAGTCATTCTTAAAAATAATAAAATAAAAAATTTAAAAAGTCATTCTAAAAAAGCTCCAAATGAGGGTAAAAAAGACAAGTGGTTCTCAGTGGTAGTTATGTCAGTGAAAAAGTACAAAAACTTAATGACACAAAAATAATTTTTTAATTATTTAAAAAATTAAATAATTATTGTGCTTAATTCCAGAGAACTGAGTTCCTTCCAAAAGGACTTGGCTGTTCAGAACTGGAGCATGCTGCTTTGTTTAGGGCATGTCGGACAGTTCAGAAGAGATGCTGGTTAAGTGTACACAGGCCAATAAAGATCAACTTAGGCCGGGACCGGTTTGGCTCAGTGGATAGAGCGTCGGCCTGCGGACTCAAAGGTCCCAGGTTCGATTCTGGTCAAGGGCATGTACCTGGGTTGCGGGCACATCCCCAGTGGGAGACGTGCAGGAGGCAGCTGATCGATGTTTCTCTCTCATCGATGTTTCTAACTCTCTATCTCTCTCCCTTCCTCTCTGTAAAAAATCAATAAAAATATATTTTAAAAAAAGAAAAATATTAAAAAAAAAAAAAAGATCAACTTAGAAGGAACTTCTAAGTATTGAGTATCAACTTTGAAGTATTGAGTGGTGGGGAAGGAAAAAAAACAAAACAAAACATTTAATTGTCAGGAAAAGCTGCCTAACTGTAACGGTCCTTCCCAAAGTTTGTAGTCATTATTAATTTTCTAAGTAAACAATTTTGTAATTTCAGAGTTTTCTTGTTTTGGCAACACAGATTATTTGAGAAAATCATAATTTTCTATAGGCCATTTTCATGTTATTTGTCTTAGTGGCAATCTCCAGAGTTTAATGAAATAAATATAAATTATATGAAATATCAGTATTGAAAATAGAGATATAAGTAAATGTCTGTCAATTGTCAACTCTTAATTATTCACCATAATTTGAAGTTTTTAAAGACAGTATTTCACTTTAAAATTCCTACAGATTCGCCTTAGCTGGTTTGGCTCAGTGGATAGAGCACCAGCCTGCAGTCCGAAGAGTCCCTGGTTCGATCCTGGTCAAGGGCACATGCCTGGGTTGCAGGCTTAATCCCCAGTCAGGGGCGTGCAGAAGGCAGCCGATCAATGATTCTCTCTCATCGTTGATGTTTTTATCTCTCCCTTCCTCTCTGAAATAAATAAAAATATATTTTAAAAAATTCCTACAGATTCATTACATTCTTGGCTTTCGTTACTGGTTCAGTGAGATATGTGTTATTTCATGTGTGGTAGATTGGGTAGTGGCATCTTTGCTTAAGATCTCACCCCTTGTACAGAACCTTCTACAAAGGAGGGGTACAGCCTGTATTTCCTGAATGAGACTATACGATGAAGTCTAATAGGATGTCATGGGGTTAAAAATAATATTCGTCTAATATCTGTAAGGGAATTCCTCAGTAAGAAAACCGTATTTGTTTGGAAAATGTATCTTGATAATTTTAGTTGGAAGTAAAAAGTTCATTCCAAGGGCTATGAGTAAGAGTTACTCCAGAGAGGTCAGGCAAAGGAAGAAGGGAGACTGAGTGAGGCAGGTCTAACACAATGGCAGAATGGGGTGTGACCTCTTCCCATGACCTTGTGAAGCTTTAGGAAAGCTTTAGAATGCATGAAATTGTCGGTTCAAATCGATCTTTTGTGGAAATCAGCTAAGAAGCTGAATTTTGGATCTAGGTCAGCCGGGGCTAAAACCAGGCATCATATACAGGTTCAGGGACTATGTCGGAGTACAAGTTATTAGGAATCAGTTGAAAGCATGGGGAGGGCTTTGGACCCTCCTGAGTCATGACTATGAGGAGTTTATGCCAAGTAGGCCTAAGTCTTGTGATGGGAGCATCTAGGTGAGAGCAGGGAGATGTTTTAATTGGTTGGTGGATGTAAGTAGAGGTAGAAAGACATTCATTTGGCTGACAAGTGGGTTACAATAAATACAAACAAAAT